AATCAATACGATAGTATACCACTTTATAGTCAGTTTGTACAGAAGATTAAGAATGTCGAGACATCTACTCAGAAGATCGTGAAGCCTCACATGCACACGGACGGTGTGGGAAAAAATGTTAAAGGGTAATGATTGTTGAGTCGCATTTAAGCATCTAAGAAGTTAGTAGTTATATAATTAAATTTTTAGAATTGATAGTGTGCTCAAAATTTTTTAATTAATTACACATTAGTAATACACTAAATATTAAATTTGAGTGGGGTCCTAGGACCCCACTCCACATACTGTGGATCCGCCCCTGCAACCCGACATGTGGGTCGCAGGTCGTTGGCAATGGCGGGCCGAGTGCGGCGGGGTTAAGTGCCAGCCAGTCCTTGAGAAGGCCACCGTAGTTGTTGGCAGCGGCGAGGAGGGATGAGGTTTCTTCTCCCCGTTGCTGGGTGGTAGGGCCAACAGCAGTGCGTCGTCGGCGTGTAGGGGCGATGGGGGAGGACCATCCTACAGCGGCGTATGTCCCCCCGCTAGGCACGACGCAGGCAAGCCAAGCCGGCAGGCTGGACTGATGATACCTCGCCAGTCACCATGTGGGTCCCACATGTTGACTTAGTGAGTCAACAACGGTCAACTACCATATTAGTAGAAACCATTTTCCAAACCACCGAAGATTTGCACTGGTTTTCGAAGATTGGAAAAGCATTATACCCGGTTTTGTGGTTGAGGGAGAAAATTCAGTAAGGAGCAAGAATTGAGGGTTGCAAATAAACTTACTCCATATATGGTAGGTGTTCTGGGCCTTAAGCGATTATGCCCAACCCATGCGAGGCCAGGCACCTTGACACATGCTATTATTTTCTGCGAATATTAGCAAGTAGCAACCATTCGGTCGTCAATTCGTCATTCCTGCAGTTTTCTGAATCAACTCCTCATTCGTTTTGTCTAAAGAAAACAAAAAAGAAAGGTACCAATAGTTGGCCTACCTCGAATCACCAAGAGCCACAAGTGTCAATTTACCTGAAATGATGGTGAACCAAGCAATCGTTGAAAATTGCAATACATAGATATAGAGCAGCCAAAAAACTTGGCCTTTCGTTTTCACATCTTAAATTTTCTTGCACATAAGTGGCACTTTGCCAACCATATATATATAATATCACATAACTTTATCAACCATATATACGGTATCACATGGTTCCGTTTTCTTTGTATAAATGTGCATGCGAGGATCATATGTGCGTGTATGGCGACCTTCCCACCATATTCATCAATAACTTTGCCTTGCCTTTCCTGATTTCAATTCAACGCCACGCAAATCACCTTCATTTCTACTCATCTGGTTATCAAATACATGTCGAATTGGTACGTGAGCTTTTCAAATTTCACTTCTACTTGGTTACATTAAAAAAACATTAGAGTATTTTTGTTATGAAAATTCCTTTATACTATGATTTGTTATACAAATAAATGTACAATGGAGACACGAATTTTAAGCGGAAAACCCTTTGCGGGAAAAAACCACAAACGCCGACCATTAATGATCACTATTGAGGAGTTGGATACAAACGCAAGGAATACATTGGGTTGTCGCACCCTCGCCGTGCGGATCTAGGAGTTCTAGTGGGCAAGACTTAAGACTCACGCTAGGAAACTAATCCTAATAGTCAAGTTCTATTTGAAAACTTATCTGAATATATTACATGCCTAAAATTCGGATCACATATTTAACATGATTAATTATATTTTTACACTATATACTAACGACGATGCCTCTTAAACTAATCTACATAAAATGCAGATCCATGTCCGTTCCATGCGTGCTGGTGCGATATGGGGGCCAAATCAGCTGTAATACTAACAGTTCTTCTAGCCCATATATTAGTGATCTTAAATGTCTCTCAGTATTACAGAGAATTTATATCCTATCACACGACATCAATAAACCACACTATAAATCTTGCAAATCACCCCTTTGAACTTCATGGTAAAAAGAAATTCAAATCTAAATGGATAGCCACATATAAAACCAATTAAGGTGAATATTTCCTATATAAAAAGATGGTAACACATTTAATAGAAAATATATATTTTTATTTATTTTAAATAATATTATTTTTTATTCGTAGTAACTAGTAAAGAATGGAGATTGAGCTAGTTTTCTATAAAATTATTGTTGCCTATGGTTGTGTACAGGGATGAAACTGGTACGGATACTTTTGGTACGTCCGAACGTTTTTTCGAAATCGGATAGGTTTGTTCGGATAGTTTCGGATATTTTTGGATTCAGAAACAAATTCGGATTTTTTTTCTCCGTAACATAAACGAATACAGTAAGGGAAATATCCGTCGGAATTGCAAAACGGTTATCCGTGAATATTTTTCGAATATCCACAAACAAGGATCAAATTTCAGAACAAACATGTACATATACATAACTTTTCCATACGAAGTCAGATGAAGACAAACTTTATATCAAAATTGTAGAGCTCAACGAGATATACAACTTTATTGTTAACTATTTTATTATCTGAGATCATTTAAGGGTCTAAATATTCATTATAAAATATCATATCTATTTTTACAAAATCTCATATCTGTAATTCAAACGATATCCTATAGAGACGTGTTCCATATCAAAGTTGTAGAGCTCAATGGAATCTACCACTTTGTAGTTTATAACATTTGTATTTGAAAATATTTAAACTATAAAACAAACATTACAAGTTTCGAAGATGTGAAATAAAATAAATAGCATCTTCAATTTATAAAACAAGACCTTGATAAGTGATATGGTAAGTAAGCTATACATGAAGTAAAAGGTATTTGGACTGGAAAGTGAATAACCATATTACATGTTGGTCTTTTTGGGGAACGGTTATGAAAATCGATTTTCACATACGGTTATGAGACCGCCTACAAAATTAACGATAGACATTTAAATATGTTGACCTAAAATAACAAGCGATATCTCTTCATTGATTAAGGAAGCTCAATTTGAGGAGTTTTTATATCCCGGCAAATATTCGTTACCGTATTTGTTTCGTTTCGTATCGCTCCGTATTTGTATTTGATAATATTCAATTTAATTTCCATATCCGGGTTTTTGATTCCGATTACGATTCCGGAAATAAAAAAATATGAAAATGAATATATTAAAGCTAGTTTCCGATCCGTTTTCATCCCTAGTTGTGTACATTTACCATGTGCTTGTGTTTGGTGCTTCCTTCATTTAAAAATCAGTGAAACCCTCACACAAACAAACAAAAATGCATTGATAGATGATTTTGTGTCAATGCTACAAAATATGCTCCATGGTCCTATGATTAATTCCACTATATTTAAATCAGGGTGATGTCGTTATACATGATTCCCTGCATGTTCTAATTCAAGGTGAGTACTAAATGTGGTGCATTCACACATTTTAAGGAGTAATTAATTGTTACATTGTTGGGAGGAGCAGTAGTTGAGAGTATAATAGGAAAAAATTGAATGAAAGGTGATAAATGGTACTCCCTCTGTACTCGTAAAGGAAGGAAGTCGTTTTGGACAGCGACACAATCTCCAAAACACAACTTTGACTTCTTGTTTCTATAAAAACATTTATTGAAAACTGATATATGTATACTTTTATGAAAGCATTTTTCAAGACAAATCTATTTATATAATTTTTATATTTTCAAACTCAACAACTTGAGAGTTATTCATGATTTATATTCCCAAGGCTTAACTTAAACATTGTCCTAAACGACTTTCTTTACAAGTAAGGAGGGAGTACAAGTAGTATATTAGAGTGACAAGTATTTTGGGACAAATTTCAAATTCTAGAAAGATAACTATTTTAAGACGGAGATAGTACTCTATACTTTTATTTTTTTTAAATAAAAACTCCAATGAAGGTGACAGTCTGCCACCCCATCTACTTATATTGTAGTTTTACATATTATCTATTGAAATTCTTAATATTACATAACACTTAAATTTAAATGGATATATAGTTACAAATAAAATTAAACTAAAGTAACTATTTATTCATTTCAGTTAATATCATGGTTTTTTTTCTTTTAGCTGTAGCAATTAACTGAGTAATATGTAACAGCTATATCCATGCCAAATGCAAAACGGTGACATTTTGTACATAAAAAAGACCCATTAGAAAAGGAACCGCCATCCCTCATTTCTGGGGAATAATTAATTATTTGTCACTTTTACGAGTAGTGATAAAGGATTTGCCACTAAACCTATATGTTACAGATAGATGAGATTCTACATATCATAGATAATGAGTGGTAAATAATTAATTGCCACATATTAAAAGTGGCAAAAAGTTAAATTTTCCTTTTTCTTGAGGTTCACATCTGAGCCGTCCATCTGTCACCCCAGCTAAGCGAACACAACCTTGTTTTGTTGTGTTGTGCAACTCAGTTCAAAACAATCCAAAAAAGCTTTATTGGAGGTGTTTGGGGGAAGAGACCACTATAATGCCACGTCACTAAATCCCATCCAACATCAACGGCATTTGTGTAAGTACGTTTAGCAAATTAAGATCATCTCATCTCTATCCATGTATTCATTAACACTGATGCTACATCTCAACTCCTTTGATATCCCTATTGTTAGATAACCAATTAATCAATTTTAATGCAATAACAAAACCTTCCGACTAACGTTTCGCGTATGGATAATAACGATGACAATATTATATCCAACGTCAACACCAGACTATATCAATGACTTACTATTATATTAATAAACACACCATCGTACACCATATTTTACTGGCTATCATTTACCACTGCGGCTACCGGTCACCCTAAATATATATTCGTATGCCATATGCTAGTCTCTCTCGGTTATTTATTATTTCGGAGAGAGTTGGTACCAATTTTTATGTAGAGATCTATTTATTTTTCCGAGAGAGTTTGACACCCCCCAATTTCTCTCTGGAGATAGATAATCCCACCCTTCTATATCCATCTATATCTATCTATTACTATCTATATCTTCTTTATATTTGACGGTAACACATATGGCTGTGCGTGGCTCCACCATTGGAAAGAATAAATACAGCAAGCTAACCTTGGGGGTTTATAATTATAACGCTTCCTTGGCCCCCTTCGTCTCCATCTTCTTTTTTTTTTTTCTCTCTCCCTTCTCTCTCTCTACAAATCTGGGGCTCCCAGTATAGCTTAGGTTGATTTAATTATGGTTAACCTCTCACAGTAATCCGGGTGAGAGGTGGGAAGCCAAAGTGGGAGAAGCAAAAATATTCTCAGGGCAGGTAAGGTAAGCGAAGGCGAGAAGAGAAGAGACGAGAAGAGAAGAGAGAGAAGGTAAACTAGTCTCTCTTGTACATGGTGGCTTCCCTTCCCTTCCCTTCTCTTCCCATCTCTCTCTCCTCTGGTTTTCTCCTACCTTTTCTTTTGGGGGAAAAAATAATATTAATTAAGGCGCGCGTGCGCGGCGGCGCGGCGGCGGCGGCGGCGGCGGTGGAGGAGGATTCAGGGTGGTGGTGGTGGTGATGATGGGTTTCTTCTCGTCGTGGGGTGTGCGCAGGGGGGATGAGCGCGGCGGCGGAGGAGGCGGCTGCGGCGGCGGCGGCGGAGGAGGTGGAGGGGGTGGAGGCGGGGAAGAAGGGCGTGGCGGATGCGAAGGGGAAGGGGAAGGAGAAGGTGGTGGTGGCGGAGGAGGATTCTGCGGTGGCGGCGGGCTCCGGGGGAAGCGGAGGCGGGAGGAGGACGTTGGTGGCGTACCCGGCGCGGGTTGCGGGGTACAAGGACGTGGTGGCGGACGCGGCGGTCTTCAGGAGGGCGCTCGAGGGGTTGCACGCCCAGATGGGGACAAAGCTCAAGTAAGGGATCCCCTCTCTCTCTCTCTCTCACACACACACACACACACACGCACCAATCTGTATCTGGCATCGCCGATCCTTGCACCATGCAGCTGCCTTACGATATAGCATTTGATGCCGTTGCGCGCTTAGAACAGTTGCTGTTTGTTTTGTTTCTTTCAATGCGCAAGAATTGCAACTTGGGAGATAAAGTTTGGGGAGAAAGAGAAGTTTTGGGGAGAGATAGCGAACCTAATAATAATGGACGATGCAAATACAGGCATTTATATATTTATATTTATTTATTTGGAATCCGGATACGTCCGGTTTTGACTAATCAACCCCATATAAATGTTACCCTCGAAATTATGTGGCCTATATCTGCCATTGAGTCACCGAATTTATGGATCGACCACATTTCTGGTTTCTTATCTTTTTGTTTTCCCCTTCGTTTGTGCAAATTTTGTCCACAGATTGTGATAGTTGGCTTGGGCCTTTGTTGCTGTTGCTTTGCGTAGTTATCCTTGTTTTATGCCTCGTTCAATGGTCAATTACTTATATGTTGTTAATGCTGAGGAGCAGCCCTAGTTGATGATGTTATGTTCAACACTTATGTTATTGCTCATTTGTAGTTTGTAGTTGCCTTAGACCCTAGTCTAATTGAGTGTGTGAGCCTGTCCCTTGCAAATCAATGTACTTGCTATAGCTGTATTATATGGAGAGAATGACAGGTATGTTTGTCAATGTTGCTTGAATCACTACTGTTAATATTATATATAAGTTTAAGTTGATGAATGATTTGCATTGCAACATGTTTGTGTACTGTGGTAATTAGTTGATCTACTCTACCAAGTTATCATTGAGCATGCTTCATTTTGGTGCATTTCTAACATCATTTTTGTTTTCAGGGTGCCAATTATTGGTGGAAAAGACCTTGATCTTCATCAGCTGTTTAAGGAGGTCACTTCACGAGGTGGCATTGATAAGGTGGGAATTCAATAAAATCATTCATATTTCAATTGTCAAATGTTCCTTAAGAAAGTCTTTTAGCCAGCGACAGTCATGTAAGACTGGCCATATATAGTAAAGCAAATTTTTATTATGCTTAGAAGTTTGCCAAAGAAAAGCAAACTAAAGGCATGGCACTTGAAATTTTTGTTGTTTTCATGATCTTATTATTAGTTGTTACCTGTCAGAATAGCAGGCAAATAACTGAAATTTATTTCACAGGTGAAGTCCGATAATAGATGGAGGGAAGTAACAGCATCATTTATTTTCCCTGCTACTGCGACAAATGCTTCTTTTATGTTGAAGAAATACTACATGTCACTATTATACCATTTTGAGAGGCTATACTTGTTTGAGGCACAAGGCTGGTATCAAGAAACTGGTCAGTGGGATTTATAGAAATTCAGTCTTCTAGTTTGTCTGTTGCTGTATTACTAGCTCATACCATTTTGTTTCAGCAGATTCCAGAAGCATTTCCTGTATAGAAATGAAAGCTGAAGGTCAAGCTTCCCGGAAAAGGAAAAGAGGAAGCAATTCTTGTTCTTCAGGTCAGTTTCAGTTCACTTATCTTCTGTAGCAGTTTGTTTTGTTTAGGACTTCTTCTGTGGCAGGCTAGCAGCTCATTACAAGAGAAGGAAAGATTGTAAATGTTACTCAAAAGTTTAAGTAATAGTATGATTGTGTTAAGTGTTGTAACTGTCAACTTACAAGATGTCGTAACATTTCTTCAGTCGAAGCTTGTGAGTTTGCAGCATTTTGTACATTTTGGCCCTTGTATTCTTATTCTACAAATAGACCCTCCAATTAACTTAGAGTGGACCCTTTGTTCAACACCATTGATGAAGGTGCCGAGGTACAACATCTTGGCGCCAACCATACACTTCGGTTCTGAGAAAGGCCAAGCTGGCATGAAGTCCACATGGTCCGCGCAGAAGGTGTTGGCGCTAATGTAATATCCAGGATGACAAGCTAACAGTTTTAATTAAACAATCGTAGAAAAATTGTGTGGTGATAAGATGTCCCCCGTGCCATGTCGGCGAGCCGAGTTTGATCCTTGGCTGGTCTAACTTGTTTTATTTTCTTTTTTAGTGGCCAAAAGGTACCATATATATTTTTTAAAAGCAAACATTCCTCGAGTCATGTATGCACGCATACAGCTGACCATTAAAATAAGAGAAATAAAAGGGAAAAACTCACAGCTTGAACACTCGAACCCAGGATGTCGAGGAAATCATGAGGCCATCAAACCACTAGACCACTTATCAGCTTGTTACCTATTGTACCCCACAAGCCTTTTAAGCTTCCTATATGGTCAGCGCCAAGAGGTTTGCTACTGGCCAACTGCTCACGTGTACTTCATGCCAGCGTAGCAAAGTTCTCAGCGGCAACAGTTTTTTATTATTTTCTTTTTTTTAGTGACCAACAAGCACTCCTCGATTCATGTCTGTATATGTAGAGCTGACCATTAAAAAGAGAAAAAGAGAGGGGGGGAGGGGGGGTTAAGGTTGAACACTCGAACCCAGGACGTTGAGGAAAGCATGAGGCCGCCAAACCACTACACCACTTATCAGCTTGTTGCCTATTATATCCCACATTTAAGCTTCATATGTGATCAGCGCCAAGAGCTTTGGTGATGACCACCTGCTCACGTGTTCTTCGTGCAGCTCGCCAAAGTTCTCAGCGCCAATGTGTATGGCGCTTAGATATTGTACCTTGGCACCTTCATGATGGTGTTGAGCAAAGGGTCCATTCTCGAAATAAGTTTATTGGAGGGTCTATTTGCATGTATATCAATATATAAGCCCATTTATAAATTCAGTAAAAAGCGAGCATGTTCTATAATGGTGCTAAGATAAATGGAGAACATTTATAGGAAGCATTATTGCTGTTCTCAAGCATATTCTATACGGTGTTAAACTAAATGGAAAACATTTTTATGGAAATTATAATTGGTGTTCTTTTTATACATTTAGGTAAAGTTGTTTAAATTTATATGACTAACAGTTAGTTCCTTTGACTTTGTCAGACCTAGCTGCTTCTTTGGATAATGATGTACAAGTGATAATTGATGGTAAGTTTGAACATGGCTACATAGTTACCGTTATCATGGGCTCAAAATCAACGAAAGCGGTACTCTATAATTGCACCGAAGAACCTGCAGTGCCAACTGCGGTGCCTCATGTTGCAATTGACAGCGCTGAGGGCATACGTCCTCGCCGCCGCCGCCGTAGGAAGAAGTTAAGTACAACAGACCCCAACCATCCTAAACCAAACAGGAGCGGCTACAATTTCTTCTTCCAAGATCAGCACAGGAAGCTCAAGCCAGAATATCCTGGACAAGACAGGCTTATCAGCAAGATGATTGGTGAACGATGGAACAATTTAGGCCCTGAAGATAAAGCAGTAAGAGTAGACACGGTCTTTTGAATTTCATTACTTCAAATTGATAAAGTAATCATGCAATATATGTGCTTTGTAACACTTATACATATTGTAGGTATATCAAGAAAAAGGTGTAGAGGACAAGGCAAGGTACCAGAGACAGTTAGCTCTTTACAGAGAACAGAGAACAGGCCAGCCAATCAGCAACGCGGTGCCTATCCAGCAGAGACTTCCTCAGAAAGAAGTGACGATTGATGAGGTGGACTCTAAAGTCAGTGAAGGTGATATCCTGCTGTCCAACCAAGGATACAGCAGCAGTACCAGTAGCAGTGATGAAACCGCTGATTCGGGAGAAAAAAATGTGGAAGATGATGAAGAGTTTAACACAGAGACATCTCCTGAGCCGAGCATGGAAACAACAGATTCTCATGGACAGCCTGATCCTTCTGCTGATGGGGAGCGCTTTGAACTGCGCCGCAGGGAGAACCCTAAGATTGATGAGAAACGTGACATGCCACCTAATTAACGCTTGTGCCGAGTTGAAGGGAAAATTTCTGAAGGATTTTTGTTGTAGGATCAGATTGCTGTTTTGTTTCACTTTACCTTTGCATCGTCTCTAGAGACTGATGCGCTATGCTAGCGCATTGAATATCTTCTTTTTTTATACTGTTAGCAATTTGAATTGCTCTTTCTTAGGTGAAGTGATCACGGGTCACTTCCGGGCATCCTTGATGTCCGATAAATTAGAGAAATGATATTATTTTATTATTCACTGTCGTCATAGGAGTACTGAGTACACCAGTTTGTTGCTCACATTAGAACCCATTACAACTGTAAAGACTGGAGTAATATTTTTAATAGTTGGTAGAATTGGTTATATGGCATCGAAAGTTGGTTATACATGTGAATGACAATTCTTTGATGGCGGTTTTGATGACAGCCACTGTCATCCCATGATAATGACACGTGTGACCTATTAAGTCGATGATATGCGCCTAGGATGGCAATGTCTGGTCTAAAGAGTGGTAAATCATCAAATCCCAAAGTTAGTTATATGTAATTGAACATGAGAGCTATTTAACCAAGTTGAGAAACCTATTACTGCTGTCCAACCTAATACTAATTTATGATGTAGTCTCATTGGTATCGGTTAGTTGATAGTTGATTATAAATCGTAATGCTTATTAGCGTGTAAAAACTAATTTGTAAATAAATTTTTATATATGTTCTTAAGGTACTTAAATTCCAATGTTGAAAAATAAATCATGATGAAAAAACCATTAATACTAACTCTAAAATTAAGTTTTAAAATTTAAAATTTAGTTACGGTTGATAAGCTAAAGAGCAAACAAAATTAAAGCGGTACAGCCCGAGACATAAGCAAGCAAAACCCACTCCTGCCTGTCGAATTCCTTTTAGACTTGATCATATTTCTTGGCTGTATAAACTTACATTAGGTTGCATATGGCTAAAAATTAAGTAGACATTATTCTGTGTATATATGATTTCTAGAAGCCAGCTGTTACAAAATTAAGTTTATTTACCAGGGTTCGAGTTTCTTGATGTGGATCGGGGGAATTTGAAGGCCACATCAGGATTAACCGAACAGGCTCTTATTGTTTCTCATTAACTGATGAGGTCGTTGGCACACCTTGATCTTACTACCGGCTGGTTAATGAACTGCTACCAAGTGAAAGTTGAGATTGATACTGAGTGCTCCATTGTCATACCCATGACCATGACAAGTTCATACACAAAAAATCTGCACAATAAAGTAGAAACAAGTAAAAACAAATCCAGAATTATGCGTCGTAGCTTAATAAACATTGACTGCTGGATATTATGAGAAGATAAAAAGGAATGTGCATTTGATTTATTGATACTTCAGCAAAGAGTTAGAGCAAAGCGCGCGCACACACCAGAGCACAGCGTACAGGTGGCACTGGCAACATAATTCTAGATAGCATTAAAAATGTAAATGAACTGGGAGTGAGCAAGTATTGGAGAAACACCTCTTTTTTCAGATATTTAGGTGTATTGGCTCAAAAGGTCCCATGTTTCTTACCAAGGGAAATAACAATACTACATATTTTCCGTTCCTGCATGCAATAGTCAATACTCAATAGACACAGTTACACCATTTATCTTTATCTAACAAAGGCGTTAATTATAACAGCAAAACCGAGTCATTATTTATTGGAATAAACTGTGTCCCGTACTCAAATACTTAGAGCAAAAGAGTGAGCCAAAATGCTACACGTTATATTCTGAGTTGAATCAATGCTAAAAAACTAAGATAAGCAAGAAAAAGCGGTGATTGTTCTGCAACAGTATCGGACAACATATACCTCTGGATTTTTCTCCAAACTTGTAATGAGAAGTTGATAACATTCATTGAAGACTTGAACATTTGAAGTTCTGACAGATTGACAAAACCTAAGATCTTGCATGTTGCACTCATATTAAGGTATTCTTGTCAAGCAACAAACCAAGGAACTGCAAGTCTGCAACAGCAACACCACGGTTCCCAAATTTAGCACATGGCATTTAGTAAGATAGAGCACAAATGCTATATATATGAAAACAACATTCGATCAATTCAAATGTGTAATGAAAAGCAGAAGTCAAAACTTACATGGCATGTGTCTCAGCCCAAAATGGGCTAAAATATGCTTGGTCTTTGTCCTACGGCTGAACTATGCACTGTACCAAGACAATATATGGCGTGGTACTAGAAATATTAGCCAAATAATTTAACAACAAAGTACTGAAATGGAACTGTTTTTCCCGAAATTAGAATATTCCTTGAATGATATACAAAATGCTGGACAAGATCTTTGCTTTCATACTGCTCTCTAGGAATCCTGAGAAGAACAAAAATTTAACTTGTTTTGACCAAAACAATTCCTCAACATGATTCCTCCGAAAATCATTTGCAGTCATTATCATCCTTCAGGAAACCGTTTTCAATCACCCCTTTCATCCCTTATCAAAATTATAAGCTCTCAAATTCCTCTTGCTTATTTTTAAACAAAGCCTTCAATGCGGCGTAATAGCAGAATCTGTCAGTACTGTACAGCTGTGCTGCTTCAGACTTCAGGAAATAGTCCACAACCATAGGAAAATGTCATTGGTGAGACCAGTGTACCACTCCACGTGGAAGAAGTGTTACATACATTTTACAGTCAACCAGCCCTGTTAGGCATAAGTAAATGATTAGCATACTTGAATGTTACTTCATTTGGAGTGCACTTATTCCTAAGCATCTCAGCTACAAGCTCCTCTGCATCCTGCCACCGCTCAGCTCTACACAAACCCTTCAATGTAGAGTTATAAGAAATAGCATCAGGCTTACATGACATGGTGCTCAATAACTTGAGGGCATCGTCCAAACGGCCTTGTTCAGAAAAGCCATTGATAAGGGCGTTATATGTAAAAATATCAGGTGTACTTCCATAGTTTGGCATTTGCTCAAGAACCTCAATTGCACGATCAACCAGCCCTTTTTGGCACAAGGAATTGATTAATATATTGAACGTTACTTCATTTGGGGGACAATCCTTTCCAACCATCTCAGCTATAAGCTCCCCAGCATCTTCCCATCGTGCAGCTCTGCACAAACCCTTCAACACAGCATTGTAGCTAAAGATATCAGGCTTGCACGGCATGCTTCTAAATAACTGAATGGCAACCTCTACAAGACCTTGTTCAGAAAAGCCATTAAGAAGACTGCTGTATGTGACAATGTCAGGCGTACATCTGTACCTTGGCATTTGCTCAAACACTTGGGTTGCATAGTTGACCAGACCATTTTGGCAAAGCATGTCAATCAGTATATTAAAGGTCATTTCAATTAGAGGGCAATCATCCCTAAACATCTGAGCAATAAGCTCACTAGCATCATGCCATCGTTCAGCTCTACAAAAGCCCTTCAACACAGCATTAAAACCAAGGGCATCAGGCTTACACACCATGCTGTTCAGCAACCTGAGGGCATCATCCACGCGCCCTCGTTCAGACAAGGAATTGATGATTATATTGTAATTGACGGTGTCAGGCTCACACCCGTACTTCTCCATTTGCTCAAGAACTTCGACTGCGCTGTCCACTAAATTATTTTGGCACAAGGAACTGATCAGCATGCTGAATGTAGCTTCGTTTGGCGAGCAACCCTTCCTAACCATCTCAGCCATCAGCTCACCGATATCCTCCCATCGCTCGGCGATGCATAAACCCTTCAACGCAGCATTGTAGCAAACGGTGTTGGGCTTGCATAGCATAGTGTTGAGAAGGTCGAGGGCTTGGTCGACATGCCCTTGCTCTGAGAATCCATTGATAAGGGTGCTGTAAATGACAACGTCAGGAGTGCATCCGTACCTAGGCATTTGGTCGAGCAGTTGGACGGCGCGGTCGAGCAACCCGTTCTGGCAGAAAGAACGGATCTGCGTGGCGAATGTCACCTCGTTGGGAGGGCAACGGTTCCTGATCATCTCTGCCATGAGCTCCTCGGCCTCCTCCCACTTCTTGGCGATGCACAAGCCCTTGAGCACGGTGTTGTAGGTGTAGGTGTCGGGCGCCACGGGCATGGAGGCGATGAGGCGGAGCGCGTCGTCGAGGCGGCCGGAGCGGCAGTACCCGTCGATGAGCGCGGTGTAGGTGACGACGTTGGCCGCGCCGGTCGCCCTGGCCGCGCCGAGCACGCGCTCCGCGTCGGCGAGGCGGCCGTCGCGGCAGTAGCCCGCGACGAGGGTGTTGTGCGAGACGGCGTCCGCGGCGGCGGCCGCCTTGAGCGCGTCGAGCACGCGCTCCGCGTCGGCGAGGCGGCGGGTGGCGCAGAGCTTCTTGATGAGTATGTTGCAGGAGATGAGGGCGGCGGCGGGGGCGGGCAGCGCGCCGGGGAGGAGGAGGAGGCGGAGCGCGGCGTCGAGGTCCCCGAGCTGGACGAGGCGGCGCAGCGTCTGGCCAGGGCGGGGCGGCGCGGCCGGGTTGACCCATATGGAGGAGCTGGCCCTGCGGTTCGCCCACCTGGAGGAGGCGGCGGCGAGGCGGGGGCGCCCGTGTTGCTTGGCGCGGCGAGGGAAAGAGAAGGGGTGGTGGGCGGCGGGCGGCGAGGAGGAGGAGGAGGTGATGGCCATGGTCGTCGGGGTGGTGAAGGATGGAGAAGGCGGAGGCGATAGGATTCGTGGGATGGATGAGGTGGTGCGGCGGGGCCGCGGGAGTGAGAGTGACGACCAAATGCCCGCCAATTCTACTTCATTCCAACCGGACTTCCTCTTTTTTTTTTCCCAAGTCCTCTCTTCAGTATGGTGATGAAATTCACTGTTAACTCATTCTACTGCCTCCAAGTCTCCAACCAAAAAAGGTTCATTTTCTATAGACGAATCTAGACTACGTTTTGAGAAGTACATATAGAGGTTTTTCCCTGTGTGGTATTAAAAAAAGATGGTGTCTGCCTCTATGCCACTAAAAAGTTTGAGCCTCTCTCTCTGCCATCGTCGAACTTTATCGCGCCCTCCATGCCATTTCATCCGTTTTGGGTTGTAACGGTGGGTAACGGCAGTGCGAAATGACCTAGTTGCCCTTAGGCTTGAAATGCCATTTGATGAAGTTTGTTTCCTTATGTGCCATTCGGAGGCAGGCACATGCATGTATTTTTTGGCACCAAAGGCTGTGATGTTGGTGGCAAAGGCAGGGCTGTTGGCGTGTCACGCCCTGGAGTTCCCTTTCCTTGTTTAAAAAAATCATTAAATAAATCGACCAAAGAAATTGTTTATTTTAGCTCAACTACCATGTGCTTGCAAACCGGCTCATCTCGACAACAGAAAAGAACAGCAACCGTGCCTTTCACAAGTGCCCTTATTTTGCAGTTTGTGTTTCATTCTCTGCTCACATATTATGTTTGGGTTTTTCTTTTGTTGTTTGCTCACAATGTGTTGATGGTTTGGCATTCAGATTGGAGGATGTCAGTATTATCAGTGGGAGGATGAAATGGTGGACACTGGAGTGCAAACACCTCATGCCCCTGCTCCAATTCATACAGTTCCCCTACAAGCAGTGGCACCACCTGGTGGTTTCCCTACTACTCCACTGCCTATCAGGCAAGATCAAGCTACTGGAGTGGACATTAGGGTGATGCAGCAGCTTAAGTGGCTTGAAAAGATGGTCTATGTTTGCATTTTTCTTACTTTGTATGCTATTTTCAAGAAGTAGTTGGGTGTGTGTATGAGTAGTCATGGATAAATGGATGTATGGAAGGATGAATGAATTTTCAATCAAGAATGGTGAAAGTATAAATGGCCAGGTTGAAACAACACCAAATGTTAGCACATAACAACATCAAATGAAACAACATAACATAACTAGCTATTTCATCCTTTAATTAGCTGTTTCATCACATAACAGCACTACATGATAGTACCAGATGTTAGCAACAGACATGACTTAGCAAAATACATTACTTGTTTGCATCCACATACCAACATGGCAAAGTAAGAGACCAAAAAAAGAGTGTTTTCATCACATGGCAGATGTTTTTCACTATCATAGAACAAAATAAAAGTTTTGCCATGGATTAAAAGAACCATAGACCAAAAGAAGCACATTTTACTACACCTGGAGCTTCTTGCTCCTGGTATTTCTAGCAGGGCTGTCTGGGCTTGATGTAGTGGCTGCAGCTTGGGGCTTTCTTTGGGTAAGCTTCCTTGGGGTAAGTTTCCTGCTGATGCATATCTTCATTCTTAGTGAAGCCTACGGCAGTACAATCTGCAGTGGCCGGGTCTCCTAGGTCTCCTGTTGAGTGGTCTCATCAGGGCAAGGTTCTAGGAACACAGATTGTAGTGGTACTGGATCATTGGAACCAGTTGCAGACCTTGTGCTAAAACAAAAACATGGTGCATTAGGTGGCATGAAGTTTTTGATGATTTGAAGGCTTGTGGTAAAGAAAAACATACCTGTTACTCACACTGACTGGTTCTGAGATTGTAGTAGTAGTAGTAGTAATGGCATATGCCCCCTTTTTCTTCTTGTTGGCACCAGAAGAGGAAGATTTCTTCCTTTTTTTTTTGTGGGATGCATTGGCCATTGCTTCATTGGCTGGGAAGACCATCTGGGAGGGATTAGCCACTAAACTGGTCTCTGTGTTACATGGTACAACTTTCTTCAACCTCTTCTTTGGTAGACCCCTACATATCAAATGTGTTTTAGTTAACTAAGTTATTGGTGATGTACATGTATATGCAAACTAAGTTATGTACAAAGTATACCTTTCCGCCTCCATTGTAGCTATATCTTCTAGGTTGCCATTCTTACATGTATACCAGTGATGGTCTAACAGATGGTAGATCGGGCACTCATGTTTCTTTGACGTTTTCTGGCTGCTACCTCCCTCAAGTGATGACTTCATCTTATTCTTGTGCCTACCTCCAGCTATGGACTTAAGCAAGGGAGGGCGCATGAAGAAGTCATGGGTAGCCTTGGGCCACATGGTCTTGTCTGGTATGGAAGGAATATAACCCTCATATGCAGCGCTGAATTTGTTGACAGAGAAGTACTCATCCACATGGTTCTCAAGCTTTTCTCCAGGAATGGATGTAATGTATGCTATTGCATGCTTGCATGGGATGTCTGAGCCCTGCCAACCCCTACAAGAACAGGTTCTATCCTTTAGGCTGACCACAAACCTGAACCCAGAGCCATTAGTAGCTTTAGCGCACAGTTCTGCCACACCTTCTGGAGGGGCTGTTATCACCTCAATATCCAGGTTGTAGCTCTCTTCTGATCCTTAAGCCTCTGCAGGATGTGAGGTAGAATTTTTCCATTAAACTTCTTGGCTACCTTCTTCCTTTGGTTCCATTTGATCAATATTTTCTGCCTTATAGTGTCCAGCAAGTCATCCAAGTGCTTTCCCTTCTCTGCCTTTGTCCAGTTATTGAATGACTCAGCCAGATTGTTAGTCACATAATCCATCTTTGATGCAGTCCTGTACTTGCTCCTAGTCCACAACTTCTTGTGAGTTTTTTTGCAAATACTTTATTGCTTCTGGTTTGGCTGCAGCCATTGCTTGGTAGTGCTTCTCAAATATGTATGGGCTCCATGAATATGAAGAAGCCCATAAATGCTCATCAAATACCTTCCCACTGTACCTCTTCTTGAAATTATGTACTAGATGGTACATACATTCTCTATGTTCAGCAGTTGGAAAAACATCACTAACCCCTTTCATGACTACCTGTCCACAATCTGTGTTGAATGTCAAGCCATCTGGGGTACCTATTGCTTCCTTCAATCTCTCCATAAACCAGAACCAGTTCTCATTGGTCTCTGAGTCAATCACACCAACAGCTACTGGATACATCCAGTTGCGCCCATCTACTACACAAGCTATGCACAACTGTCCCCTAAACCTCCCTGTCAAAAAAGTACTATCTACTGCAAGATATGGTCTACATCCTCTATGAAATACATCATGCTTTCAGTACGAAGAATAGCCTATGAAATCAGATCTTCTTGTTTATGGTGTGATGATCAATAACAAGAAATAATCCGGATTTCTAAGTTGAAGCTACTATCTGGGTCCATCCTACATATGAACAAGGAGCACGTAATCATTAAACCCTAACACGGATTAGTAGCAATGGGCACTAAACATCAGTACATCAAGGGAGGCAATAAATGTGGCCTAAGACAGCGAAATCAAAGGGGGCAGCATAAAATTCACCCGTCTAGAAACCAATCCGGGCGCTCGCTGGCGCCGTTCCACACCATGGCTGCTCCTCCCCGTTCCTCTCGATGCACGGTTAGATCCACGCTCCCATGCTCCTCCCCGCCGCCGCTAGGTTTCGCCACCGTCGCCACCGCCGCTGCTAGGGTTTTGTCGCCATGGAGAGCAGGGAATCGAGAGAGAAGAGAGTGACACTTAGGGGGATGACGGTAAGCATCGGTCAACAGACGGTCCAATATGCTAGCAATTGAAAGGGAAAGAGCGACATTTTCCCTATCCGGGCCCATATGTGACATGTCAGAGCTGCCAAACGGTTATCCCCAAATAGAATAGCGATGGAATGATGTGGAGGGCATGATAAAGTTCGACAATGGCAGAGAGGGAGGCTCGAACTTTTTAGTGGCAAAGAGGCAGACAGCATCTTTTTTAATGTCACAAGAGGAAAAACCTCACATATAGATAAGTAACCTTAAATTATTGAGTTATTACTGTTCATCCATAAGATATGGAAGATCAAAATTCCTTTAGAGATTGTCCGGCAGATGCGCAATAGAATTTAAGCAAATTTTGCTACAGGATCTCGTGGGAATGCGGTTTCAATTGTTGGACACAGGCGTAGTAAAATGTTGAATAAAATCACTATGTAAATATGGTAATTTGCTCATGGAACCCGCTTATATTATTTTAATATTTTTGGCCATGTGTACAACTGAAGAGACCAAAACACTCATCCAACCAGGTTCCAACCAAACCAACAACACTATCGAACCCCATGGCAGTCGCCGCCGCAACGGTGACGTCGACGATGGTGAGGAAGGCACTATTCACAGCAACTTCCTCTCCTCCTCTGCCTCTCGTAGCTGGTGTAGCCTCTCCCGCTCCATGCCCAGTGCTTCTGCCATGCCGCACATCGCGCTTTATCCATCGGACCTACTCTGATGGGTGCCCCACTGGCACAGACACAATGCTCATTTTGCTACCAGAAGTTGTGCTAATGGCTTTCTCAATCCTGGTTCAATTTTGGGTTAATTGGATCCATGCCATTACAAATATGCCGATTCAGATAAATAACTTTATAATTCGTCTATTCATATACATGTCATTCGAATTCGAACAAAATTAAAACCATGCCATCGCCATCGTGTTTTCCATCACCATATAGATCAAAATACCCCTAAACGTGGGACCCACATGTCAGTTCCATCCTCTTCCTCCATCCTCCCTCTCTTCTTTCTTCCCCATCTCTCTCCATCTTGTTTCAAATGTGCAGCCAGCAAGAAGGGCACGCCTCTCATCACCGTCGGCATAGTCATTAGCGACGACAGCGGTAGCGGGGTCATTGCCGCCACCGTCCTCTCAGTCCCCATGCCCTCCCCCCTCTCATTGCCACTGAGGATATGCAAGAGCGACAGACTTGCTCTTACCGACTAGACACAGCTGCCTGAGTGCGCGGTGGATGCAGAGCCCCACCTCCCAGTGCCGTCGAGCTCCATGGGGCATTTAAACTTTTTGCCACTTTCAGATATGGCAATTATGAATTTGCCA